TGCATTCATAGGGTTTTTCTCCAGTGTGCGCCCTTTTATGCAAGATAAAAGTGGAGTAGTGAGTGAAGGCCTTTCCACATTCACTGCACACATAAGGCTTCTCCCCAGTGTGAATCCGCTGGTGCTGCTTGAGGTGTGACCTGCGGTTGAAGGCCTTCCCACACTCCATGCACTTATAAGGCTTCTCTCCGGTGTGGATGATGTAGTGTTGAATGAGGTCTGCACTCTCACAAAAGGCTTTCCCACATTCATTGCATTCAAAGGGCTTCGCTCCAGTGTGAATCTGTTGGTGCCATGTGAGGTATGACCGGCGGTTGAAGGCCTTCCCACACTCACTACACTCATAGGGCTTCTCTCCAGTATGGATGATGTAGTGTCGAATGAAACCTGGCCTATCTCTAAAGGCTTTGCCACATTCTTTGCACACAAAGGGTTTTTCTCCAGTGTGGCTCCTGTTATGCAAGACAAAAGTAGAACGGTGGGTGAAGGCCTTTCCACATTCACTGCACTTATAAGGCTTCTCCCCAGTGTGAATCCGCTGGTGCCGTGTGAGGTGTGACCTGCGGTTGAAGGCCTTCCCACACTCCATGCACTCATAGGGCTTCTCCCCAGTATGGATAACGTGGTGCTGAAGGAGGTGTGTACTCTTGCTAAAGGTCTTCCCGCACTCTGTGCATTCATATGGTTTCATGCGAGTGTGAATCTGTTCATGTTGCACGAGGAGGCAATTCTTGCTAAACACTTTCCCGCATTCCTCGCATTCATAGGAATTTTTCCATTCATAAATCAGGGGCTCTGTTACTGGTCCATGAGAGTCACAGTCATAAAGAGCATCTTCTGGAGGACATTGCTCCTGTATATTCCTTGAACACACAGCTGTCCGCAAACCAACATGTTCAGGGCTCATTTTTTCAGGGAGCTTCTCCTTCTGGGGGTCTATCCCTGGTCTCAAGTGGCCTTTCTGCATTTCAGATGGCCCATCCTGATCCTTGGCTTGCCCCATCTGGGAGTGCTTTGAGGCTCCCTGTGTCAGTCGTTCCTGGAGTGAGACTTCCTCAGGCAAGGCCAAGTGAGAAGGTGTAGGCTCGCTGTTCTTGGGTTTTGCACTGTCACCTCAAGGGAAAACAATACACAAAAGGGCTTATTAAGATGATGACACAGAAGAAATTAAACTGTTTACGTAAGAACAAGAAGATGAAAATAGTGGTTTTGCACCTGCTATATTCGAAATTCCTAAAACCCAAGTTTGCAATTCCTTTTTGGTTCCTGGGTTCTTAAAACTTTTAAAGGGAGATGCAGAGGCTGGGACAGGAGACAGTGTGTCTGGAGTAGAGATCCCTGCTCATAGTCAAGACTGGGTGTGTGTATTTGTCTGTTTTTGTGTTGCTATAACAATACCTGAAACTGGGCAATTTATAAAGAAAAGAAGTTCATTTGGGTCACGATTCTGGGACAGTTGTATCTAGCACAGGCCTCAGGTTACTTCTACTTATAGTGAAAAGCATCCAGGCAGCCTGTAGGTGCAAGGAGATCACATGGCAAGATGGGAAGCAATAGAGGGAGAAGAAGTACCAGGCTCTTAACAACCCTCTCTCTGGGGAACAAATCTATTCCTGGGAGAGCTCACTTACTCCCCAGGGAGGGTATTAATCACTTCATGAGGGTTCTGCCCCCATGGCCCAAACATCTTCCAGTAGGTTCTACCTCCCAACACTGCCACATTGGGGATCAGATATCAACATGAGCTTTTTTTGAGGGGAGGAGGGGGACATATCCAGACTATATCAGGGTAGGTGGACAGAATAATGATGACACTGTGTATAGTGAGTTTGCTCAAAGCAAATAAGTTAGGAAGCTTCCCACAGGGGCTGCCTCATGAACTGAGTCCAAATGGAGAGGCAGAAGTTGCCATATAGAGTAATTGGGAAAAACATCTCAGCCTTCAGAAACAGAATGCACAAATACACAGTCTTCAGAGAATACAGGGAACTGCAGTGCCTGAGAGGATGGAGTTGGTGAAGATGAAGAGACAGGTAGGGCAGAGAGGAAGCTGATTACCAAGATTCTGATTTGGTGATAGGTGGCAAAGGCCAGGGCCACTCCTAGAACAAGGCTCATAAGGCAGAAAGTGAACAGGATCTGAGTTGATATACTGATCCACTGTGTCTGAGGAGCAGAGAGGTGAAAACACTAACAAAACGGACTGGCTCTTGAAGGAGAAATTTACAAATTTTACTTAAAAACTGTAAACATCTACATGAACAAAGAAATTAATAATATAACATTATCAATGCTCCCCAAGAGAAACAGCTACATGAACAGACTAGAAAAAGAAACAGTGAGATGAAGAAAATTATTAAACTTTACTTCAAAACTATAAGAAGTTCTATATAAACTTGAAAATATAAAATTGTCAGTTCTACCCAAATCAATACATAAATTCATATAAAATAAAAACAGGTTTTATCAGGGAACTTTAAAAACTGATTCTAGAATGTATGTGAAAAAGCTAAGTCCAAAATATCCCTGAAGGAGAATAAGAAAGGGGACCTACCTCATCCAGTGAGTGGATAATATGGAAATTATAGACATCAAGACAGTGTGGTACTGGCACAGGAATAAGATATACTGGCAATGAAAAATAAATGGAGAGGTCAGAAATATACTCTCAATGGAGCTTTGATAGATGGCAGAGGAAGCATAGCAGCTCAGTGGTAAAAGGAAAGTCTATTTAGTAGAAGGTTCAAGAAAAACTGGTTACCCATGGTAGTGAATTGAATTATGTCCCCCAGAAACTTGTTGAAACTTGAATTGTGTTCTCCAAGTTTTATGTATTAGAAACTTAGCCCCCACTGTGACTGTTAAGAGGGTGGGAAAGCCT